GTTTAGGGTTTCGCGTTTAGGGTTAGGGTTCCTTAGACATGCCTGCTTTCGGAGCCTCATGCCATCGCCTGCCCACGAGGGTCCCTGGATGGTGGAGGGCGCCAGATATTTCCGGAATCCTTGGTGCCGCATCTCGCAGTGACGGACGTGAAGACGCGAAGTGTGGAGTGCATAGCACACCGATTTCCTGGAGCAGAGGGAGACAAAATCGGAGATCTGCAGAAAGGGGGATGTGACAGCTTGTAATGCCTCGCCCTGTTCCACTGTCCCACAAAGAGCACAAAGCTGCAAAGGTCGACTCCCGAAGGTCTGAACCCCCGGGCTAAAAGAAGAAGAGCTCATGTAGATACTGTGCAAGAATGGGCACATATTTCAATAAACCGCCACCCTAAACCCTAAGCCCTAAACCCTACACCCTACGATCGTAAGTTGTCCTCTTTAAGAACAAGGAAACCAAAGAAAGCTCGGCTTTTCAGGCCATGATGCAGGACATCTTGCAGCAGCAGCCAGCCGCTCAGTCCCTCGTCGTGCTGGCACATCCGGACCGACGCTTTCATGTTTAGAAGGTTTCTAGAAGGTTACGACGTTTAAGGTCACTAGTCATATGGTTTCTATATGGTGTCTACTATAAGGTCACTACAGGGTGTCTATACGATGACTTTAAGGTCACTGCACGGCCTACTCTAGGGGTACTACAAGTTTCTGTGCGTTTCCGGGAGCACCGGCCTGCTGTTGGGTCCAGGGTTCTAGCAAGATAAGGATCCTACCGTTTCGGGTTTTCTCATTATAAGATACTAGGTATCCAGTATGGTCCGCCCTGGAAGTACCGGGAGTCTTTCTAGCAAATCTATAGATTGTAAACCAGGGTCTATTATTATCTGCAAGGCCCGGTTGAAAACGAGTGAACAGAAGCTATAGACAGGACGCAGCAGCTGAGTCCTGGTACAAATACAAGTCGTGGTAGTTTCAGGAGCGTTTTACACCTAGGAATCATCAAAGTCGACATCGCAACACTCGCAGAGCTTGTGGGGTATGCTTGTCGGTTTCGATCTGCTCATCCAATGTGTAGTGTTTTGCTTGCTCGAGCAGCGGTCATTTACATGGGTTCAGCAGCAACTGAAGCTCCAAATCCCTAGCCCTGGTCCTGAACACACTTAGACCGACAAATCCAAACCCCTAAACCCTAAACCCTAAATCTCAAAGCAGGCGCAAACCCCAAACCTCAATCCCTCAACCCTCGCACTCGCCGTCGGTAGCGTCAAAATCTAGCTCCTAGCGGAACCGAGCCTGTTGAAGCAGGACCACTTGCGACGAGCCATCCGAACCCTGCAGACTTTTCTGGGCAGCAAGGCCCTTTGCATGTCTCTGGCAGGCTTTGAGTTCCTTTTGATAGGGTTTAGGTTGGAGGGTTTAGAGTTGAGTGCTTTTAGGGTTTGGGTTTTAGAGTTGAGGGTTTAGGGTTTAGGGTTGAGCGTTGGAGGTTTAGGGCTTAGGGTTCAGGGCCCCTGTAAGACAACTTATTCAGTTCCCTGAGCGCCTGGTCGTTTTGCGAAGTGCGAGGATGCTTCTAACGTTCCCGGAAACCCCTACTTGGAGGTTCATGGGTAGCTATAAGTGGGGTCATAAGTCCCCTTTTTTGGGTTCTAACTATAGTTACCCTACTTCTAACCCCACTTATATATAACTTCCCATGAACCGCCAAGTAGCTCTGTTTTGTTCTCAAAGCTTCTGGACCCTCCCCCCCCTTGCAACATTTGGTTCAGAGGCTTTCCGGGTCACCGGAGTCGTCCCAAGGACAGCACTTGCTGGAAGATGAAGTGCGGAAGAGGATCAGGTTGCTATAGCCTCAGTAGAGTTGCTCTCATGAAAAGTTGTTTAACCACATCCTATAGGTATCTGTAGTAACGGTTTTTCTGATTGGGAAGTACCGCGTTCGTTGGTTTAGAGCATCCCTATAAACCCTAAACCCTAAACCGCACTCAACCCTAAACCCTAAATCCTAAACCCCAAACCCTCATGTAGATTTGCAGGTGACATTCGCTGTTTCCCTCGCAGGCCCGGACGTTTCCAGCCTGGGCCGTGGCGCCAGCGATGGCGCCCTACAGCCTAGACTTCGGGCGGAACTAAGTTGAGGGGGTATAAAGGGTTTAGGGATAGTTTAGGGCCCTTAACTAAGTTGAGGGGATATAAATCCTGCATTACCCCATAGTAAGGAATTACACCATAATTCTGTGGATGGCGTGAATGTGTGATGCCTGTAGCTTGTGGCTTGAAAGTCGTGAGAAACAGGTATCGATGCAAGCACTTTAGCAGAGCCTGAACTTAAGGCTGAACTGTCAAGACAGCAACATGCTCGCGTGTAAAAATTCGAGTGCCGGAGCTCATGGTTTCCCTCGCTCGTCCCTGTAAGTGAGTCTGTGACTCTTCAGGGTATGAGCCCAACGCAAGCGCCTAAGATGGACGGCGAACAGCGAGGACCCGACTATGGAGCTCTTGGCAGTGCCGGGGCAGCAGGTGAAGCTGCAGGCACGATGAATGGTGGCCCTAGGGTTGCTGAGCAAGCAGATGATCAAGGCGAGGGTGTCGGCGAGGTTCCTGCTACGAGTGGTGCTGACAACGTGGTACGACAGACCGCATCCGGGCGCGACGTTTTAACTACGACTGCAGCATCGCAGGGTGGACAACGCGAGAACCCTGAGCCTTTTTCATCCCAGCTGTCAGCCTCGCAACAACGGCCAGCCGAGACGTTACAAAGCCCTGGCATGGAGCATCATCAACCTCAGTCGGCCCTCAGTGGTCCGACGACCTCGTCTCGCATTGTGGAGCAGATGCAACAACATGTCGTGGTGGGCAGCTATGAGTTTTCTCCTCCAGAGGAGCTTCCTGAGAATGAGCCCAGGAGACACCCACAGGCTGGAGGTCAAGCTATGTGGCTGGTGAGATTGGGGGAGTTTGTGCAGAAGCGCATTAATCAAGCGGGAGCAGTGGTTTCCCCGCTCTTGGAGCAGCGAAATCGACCAGCTCCTCAACCTGCGAGGCTTTCGCCACCAAGCAGCTGGTCTGGACAGCCGGCTTCGCCGCAGAGACTTTTTAGTCCGGCAGCTGAACGACAGATGCAGCAGTGGATGCAACGAGCCCCTCTTCTACATGGACCTCAACCCCCTCAACAGCCAGAGAGCGGATCTTCTACGGGTTCGCTGACGCAAGAGCAGATCTTGTCTGAGGTTCAGAAGCATGTTCGCCAGGAGATGGCCGAGTACAATGAGCGCCAGGGTCTCCTAATGGCAGAAAACGAACAGCTACGAGATATGGTTGACAAGCTTTTGCAAGCACAGGCCCTGGGAGCGGGGGTCAGTGAGGAACCTTCACTTGGAACAGCTGCGGGACTGCAGGGAGGAGTCCGGAGTGCCTCAAGATCTGGACTTGCAAGAATTCCCGAAGCTACGAGTGGAAGCTTTGGAGTGTTTCAAGGTAATCCTCCTGAACTTCAACCAGCCCCTGAAGAGCCTGTTCGGGATCCTGTCCTTCAAAGGGGTGCTTGGGGACTACCTGGAAGTGATCCTCAAGGAACGCGACCTCGTGAAGAACGTTTTGTGCCTCCACCAGGATTGCAAGGTGCTCGGGGAGAAAGAGGGCGAGAGCAGCTGGAGCAAGGAGCTAAAGTAGCTTCGTGTGCGGATGGGGCTGGCCTTCTTCCTGATGCACATCTTGGAATGGAGCGAGGAGGAGTCTATGTGGCTCCACCGGCCCAGACGGGCCACACTTCGGGCATGTTTTCGGTGCCCCCTCATGCAAACAATTTTGCGGGTACTGCTACAGCCCCGCAGCCGGCAAGAATGAGGATGGATGCAAGTTCTACTTCCTTGCCGCCCCACTCAATGCCTGGGATGACCGCGCCTGCACCGGACCCAACTGCAAGCATGCCACCTGCGCGAAATCCTTTGGATCTTCTGGTACAAGGCATGACTCAGTTGCAGCAAGCGTACCTAGGGAAGCCAGAGGGAGACCTGAAAGGAGCTGCAGAGCTGCCCCTTATGCCGGAGGTGGGACCAGACGCCGCCGTGGAGTTTTCGGATTGGGCCTATGAGGCGGAACAGGTGATTGGGAGCCTCGCTGACAAAGCAGCGTTGTGGTTTTCAGCATGCATGGAGGTGGCACGGACCACCTACGATCAGTACGTTACCTCGTCGCCGCTTCAGCGTCTTACCCTGACTCCGGTGATCCCTGAGGAGCTTCGCCATCCACGTTGGTCACGACTGGAGCGGAAGGTCACCATGATGTTGCTTGCCTCCATGCGGAAGCCGGCGAAGGATGAGGTGATCACGCATCGGATCTCTACGGTGCCCTCACTTTTGTACCGGCTTTTCGTTCTATATCAACCAGGAGGGTCGGCAGAGCGAAGCACTATCCTACGCCACTTGGAAGGATGTTCTCCTGGAAGCGATGTGTACCAGTGTATAACTGCACTCAGGAAATGGCGCCGGTACCTACAGCGCGCTGAGGACATCGGGATCTCGGTGCCGGATGGGTCGGTTCTTCTGAGAGGAGTCGAAGCCATTGCTTCCCAAACTCTCGAATCGCTTCCAGATATCAAGTTTCGTGTTGCTTTGGCAAAGAATGAGCTTCAGCTTCACAGCCGCCCGGAAGCAGACTCGGTGATCCGGTATTCGAATGCCATTCTGGCTGAGCTTCAGACGGCAGCACCGGCAAGGGCAGCGACTACGACTACGGAAGTGGCAAAGCTGAAGAACATCAACTTGCCCGACGGCGCGACGGGCACCTCTCCTACGGCAAAGGCTAAAGCGAAGGCGTCCGTGCCGTGCAAGTTTTTCCTCACGGACTCTGGTTGTTCAAAGGGCTCAAACTGCGGCTACTCCCACCAGTTCACTAAGAAGGAGAAAGCTGGAAGGTGCTGGACTTGTGGCAGCACTCAGCATATGAGCTCAACGTGTACAACTAAGAAAGGGAGTGGAAGCCCAAACAAAGAGTCCAAGGGAGCTGGAAAGGCTCAGCTACCAAAGGGACCTGCAGTGTCTCAGCTAGCAGCGGCTACGACTACACCCTCGTCTAAGGAGCCTTCACCTTCGGCGTTATCCTCGACAACTACCTTGCCCGTGTCGACTTCCTCTACCACAAGTACATCCACCGGGGACACGGCGACGGCCTTGAGCATGGACACTGAGGCTCAGATGAAGCAGCTGTTGGAGGAGGCCAATGCTATGATGAAGGAGATGAGAAAGCTGAAGATGCTGGCTCTCTCGTCCACCGAGGTTGAAAACAATGCAGCGGGACGGAGGTGCGATCCCAAGACTGGGAGGACCGGGCTTTTGGATTCGGGAGCTTCTCATCCGTTTCGTTCGGCAGCAAACGATGAGCTGAAGGACGCCGTTCGTGTCAAGGTTCAATTGGCGAACGGGTCGGAGGTCACTCTGGCCCAAAACAAGGCCGGAACACTTCTGGCTGCAACGCCGCAAGATGGAGATGATGTCTCGCCGATTGTTCCGCTGGGTGCGTTGGTCAGCGAGTTAGGGTGTGATTTGAGTTGGACCAGGCGACGAGGACTTGAAATTCGTCATCCCCAGCACGGCATCATCAAGCCGCGCATCGTGGGACAATGTCCAGTCATTGGCGAGTCCCGGGCACTGGACTTTATCAAAGAAATGGAGGAGCGTAAGCTTGAGAAGCTGGTGCAAGCCACCCGCTCTACTGCGAGGAGTTTGTGGCTCTGGGATCAGGCAACCTCATGGGCTGGCCACCTACAGAGCTTTGTGGCGAGCGGTACGAGGGCATCACAACTGCAAGCTTTGGGTGCGGACGACTCTCCTTTCAAGAGCCTCAACGATTTCGAGAAGTCTGCCCTGGCCGAGGGGATTGAGCTTGATGACAAGGCAGGCTGGAACTACTTGAAGGCTATCCCTTGTTCCCGTCAAAAGAGGAAACGCTTGATGACTATGCCCTGGGTCATTCGTCTGTTTTCTGGAAAGGGAGACGGTGCAGATCCTATCTTCAAGGAGCTGGAGGACTCTAGAGTTTTGGTGGAAGTGGATATTGCCAGGTCTTCAGCCTTTGATATGTTCAAGGTCTCGGGCGTCTATAGGGCCCTCCTCTGGGCAGCAGCTACAGGCAGAGTGGATGGAGTGCTAGGAGCCCCTCCCTGCAGAAAGGAAGGTGATTCAGTTCTTCTTCTGAAGCAGATGTGGCTGTTCACCGTTGCCAAGGCCGCGAGGACTATGGATGTTGGGCAGCCTGTCTTTATGATGATGGAGGGTGCTAGGTTGCTACGAGATGTACACTGTCAGGACTATGTGCGGTGGCCTACAATCAGAGCAGCATGGGCTGAGCTTTTGGAGGATTTGTGTTTGGAAGAGGTGAGCCCCAATATGGTGACCAACCTGCAGATGGAGGATCCTCTACCAGATGTTGGGGATTGCTCGAGGGAGTGGACAGACGCGTTCAAGACCCTGGTGAAGCGCGCCGTTGATCTATGGGATCAAGCTCCTGAGGGCCTCCAGATTGCAAAGTGGGTGAAGAAGCTTGCTGCAGGATCTCCAGATTACCTTCAAGGCTTCACAGAGAGGGAGTTGGCCATGTGGAAAACTCATGTACAGAACAACCACCGGCCGTTCCACAGGAGATGCCGTACATGTGTGGTCAGCAAAGGCACCGGGAGACACCACAGGAGAGTGCGTCATCCTGATGTTCATTGTTTGAGCTTGGACATCATGGGTCCCTTTAGGACCAAGTCTGGGGACCCCAACCACCGCGACTACCGATACATGTTAGTCGGGACGTACACTATGCCAAAGATGAATGAGGAGTCGGGCGTCACCAACCTGGAAGACCCTCTATGTGATCATGATGGAAACACCGAAGAGGTGGATTTGACTGAGGGAGACCATGCGGAAGCAGATATACTCGGCGGTGGAAGCGATGCTCCAGGTGAAGATGAGTGGGATGAACTAGACCCAGTTGAGCTAAAAAGGGAAAGGCCGACGGAGTCTAACATGGACTTGAAGGGCCTCACTGAAGAGGAGTTTGAGAAGATCTTCGTTGAGGTTGGAAAGCCGTATGATGTTCAGGTGATCTATGTATCCATGCCACTTCGGGGAAGGACTTCGGCAAGAGTGCAAAGCGCAGTGCAGGAGATATTTTTGAAGCTGAGAAGCGAAGGGCTTCAGATTACAAGGGTGCATGCTGATCGCGCTCGTGAGTTCAGGACTGAATCCCTGAAGCGGTGGATGCTCCAACACGGTTCCTTCATGACCTACACCGAAGGACAGGCCCCTCAGCAAAACGGAAGGGCTGAAGCAGCTGTTCGATGGCTAAAGGGTGAGATCAAGATGCTGTTGCAAGCCTCTGGTTTGTCTAAGTCGTGCTGGGCTATGGCGGCAAGCTACGCTACAGCGTGGCAGAGGGCCAAGGCACTTGGACTTCCAGGTCCTCCTCTACCTTTTGGAACAGATGTTCACATTCGTGCCAAGGTTTATGGAACTGGACAGCGCTACGACCTCGACAGTCGATGGCGGAAGGGCACATATGTGGGACCTAGCCTTGATGTTCGGGGAGGCCACATTATCAAGTTTCCAGACAACACCTACACTACGACAAAACACTTGAGACCGAACTTGGTGAACTCTGACGGTCTTGTGGATTTGGGAACCCATGAAGCGTTGATACCGATGCCTACAAGGAGGTTGCGAGGGAAGGCCGCTGTGAATGAGGAGTTTGTCGCACCGCAGGAGGAGAATGTAGGACCTTATGATCCTGAGCATGCCGCTGAACAGTATGCAGCTGGTTTGCTGGAGGAGGATGAACTGGTGCAGGACCAGGTTGAGATCTTGGTTCGTCTTCTGCCTTCGGTGACTGAAATTCCAAGACGTTTCGGAGAACAAGAAAGTGGGTCGATGATTTGGGCTGCAGGAGCTTTTGTTCATGGAGGCGTCGTCGGGGTGAAGAGGGCAACAACTACGTTTCCATTGACAACAAAGGTGTTTGTGAAGTACATAAAGCAGATTGCCCCGGATTTCAAGTTCAATGCAGTGACGGTGAACATCAATGTGAAGGCGCAAGAGCACAAGGATGTTCACAACGTGGGGACTTCTATGATCACGGCAATTTCCCATTTCAAAGGAGGTGGATTGGATGTTACCGTTGATGGAGAAGTTCAAAGGCTAGAGCTGGGTTGTGAGCCAGGTTTCTTTGATCCACACAACAAGCACTCCACCGCGCCATGGTCAGATGGAGACAGGATGGTGATGTTGGCGTACTCTATTCGGGACAGTGGAAAGCTGACGCAGGACAAGGTAGAGCTTCTGACTGGGTTGGGGTTCTGTTGGACTCCGCATTTGTCGGCTCCTGAGCGAGCAGAAAGGAAACCACTGATGTCGACGATGCAGGTGAGTTTATTGACAGAAGATTCAGAACGTGATCTACCACCACCAGGTC